GAAGTTGCAGGGGTAAGGGAAGGTGAAGGTGCCACAGGGATTGTGGAGGTGAAGCACAAGAGCAGACATGGGGACAGAATTGGAGGGGAGGGATGAGTGGCAGAGGGCAGAGGAGAGAGGCGGGCAGGTGGGTAGAGGGAGGTGTTAGGAGAGGGAAGCTAGAGGAGGGATGGGCACAAGGGGAAAGGGAAGAGTAGGTGCAGGGGTCAGAGAGGATGGACAGGTGGGGCAAGTGCCAGGAGAGCTGATGGGAGACAGAAGGGCAGGAGTCAGGACAGTAGAGGAAAGGGAGAGGTTTATAACTTAGGGTGTCTATGCTGCATTCCTCTTTTTAGAGAGGAATGCAAATGCAGCTGAGCGAAATTGCAAATGAAGCGTGAATTTGAATTTCCCATGCTTCATTTGCATAATCACATCCGGGTGCTATTTTGAAATACCCTATTTCGAAAAAAGAAACGCTGTCTAGATGCGGTTATTTCAAAAGAAAACCCTTCTTACGAAGTAACCCTTAAAACTCATTTTATAAGGAGTATTTCGTAAGAAGGGTTTTCTTTTGAAATAACCGCATCTAGACAGCGTTTCTTTTTTCGAAATAGGGTATTTCAAAATAGCACCCGGATGTGATTATGCAAATGAAGCATGGGAAATTCAAATTCACGCTTCATTTGCAATTTCGCTCAGCTGCATTTGCTTTCTTCCCTCGAAGGAGGAATCAAGTGTAGACATACTCTTGGGTACCACAGTGGCACACATCTGAACAAGTGCACATGACTTCAATATTGGTGCATAAGACAAAACTCACTCTGCTCATGGATGGAAAATCTTAGAGGGAACACTGGTATCTGCCCCATACTGTAACCCACTCAACTCCGCTCCCCTTCTGAGATAGAACCCAGGATGAGTCCTGATACTCTCTCTCTCTGCAGAGTTAGTTGCAAAGTAAGAATATACATTAAAATGTTAAACCTAACCAGCATGTGTCCCATAAGTGACTTGCCACAAATGTCAGAATATTAGACACACACTCAGCTCTAATATTTATTTGATTTTCTTTCTTTTATTTAGGAATTAGATACAGTCCCTCTGTCAGCTAATTCCAAAATTATCTGATAAAAAATATGAGAGTTTTCAAGTGCCTTAATAGCTTCTGGAAGGAAGGAAGGAAGGAAGGAAGGGTGTGTGCATGAGTGTGTATGGGCAGAATGGGTTGGTCCTATCCCCATTTGCTGCTTGGCTTGCACTGAGCATGTTCAGAAACACTGCTGAAGCCATTCTCCTCAGTCTGGTCCCCCCATGCCCTCACTCTGCTTGTGGCATGGACAGATCCTTCTCCCCACCAAAATCTGAAATGGTGCCCTAAGTGTAGCTCAACCTTTTGGAGGTATCTACACTCTGGCTGGAGGGCTGCAAGGCAAGACAATCTTTTAAAAGATTATAAAAGCTGTTTTGCTTAGGGACAGACATTGTTAAAGAGATGGAAGATGTTCTGCGGAACAGGAGATCTTTATTGCTGTACCTACACTTCATCAGCAGGGAACCTGATGGAAAAGGCGATCTAAGTACTGCTCAAATGAATCCTGGATGGATTATGCTAAGAGAAATAGATTCATGATTTGTTCCAGGTGTGAATAGCTAGGCCATGGTGCAAATTAATCCCCCTGACCAATATTCCCTCTAATCTTTTCCATCCATGTGTGTATAAATTTGTGTGAATAAATTTGTTATGTGTACCAAGGCATGTGCGAATATGCACCACTAGTAGAAACACAACCTAGCCGTGGGCGCTCAGCTAATCAGCTGGGCGGCATTGGAATCTCTCCTAAGTGGCCACACAAGCACACAGCCTACAGGGAACACTGACCTTGACTCCTGGGCTCTTTGAAGCATGCCCACCAGTCCATCGCAACACGTGAGACAGAGGCTTTCTTTTACAATAAAATAGTTGGAAATGAACCATTTCCAAAGAGAAGGCTTGTGACGCTGTACAAATGGAGGACATTTTCAATAGAGTATTTTGAGGTGGAGGGGCTGAAAATACAAATAGATTTTTTTTCGACAGGCAAATTTTATTTGGTGCCTTTTAAATAGGGCATGGTAGTGGAAAATTCCATTTGACAAAGACAATCCAGCTCTTTTCTTTGTAATGAAGCAGAATGTAATTCACAGCTATTGTTTAAGTATGTCCTTGAACAGTATGTATTGTCTGCTAACTGTCTGCCTCCGTTCATCACTTTTGAAAACAACTGTGGTAATTTTACATTCCATTAGGTGGCTTGGTATTTTCAGATGAGACAGTCCATCTATACATGCCACTGCATTAGTGGCTTGACAAATGGTTTTTCATCACTAACACAGGATCAGAGCTTCTACATTGACCCTCATGGATTTAGCTCAAAGTATTTGATCTCAGAACTAGGCTAGAATGACCCCCCAAAAATCTAATCAGGTGATGACAGTAAGGAAGAGATAATATAATAAACAAAATGACTGTCTCAAACTTACTTATCTCTGTTTAACATCGTGTAGCTTTTTTAGTGGATGTGAGGAAATGGAACTGCCTATAATGGTCAGACTGGAGTTGGTAGATAGATAGCATTGCGTACATCAAATAGATAGTGAGTTCATACAGGCCTTTGTCTTCCTCTAATATTGCGCATTAAAATCTTTACTAGTGCTCAAGGGTACAATGTGTAGAGTGGCACTTCAGAGCAAGTGTACCTAAATTGGCAGATTCCCATTCTTTGAGTCAAGCGCTCCCCTGCATTACATATACCAAAGTGGAATTACATACCTCAAAGCCTCTTACAGATCAGTAGCATTGAGCACAAAAGTTAAATGTTCCTCAATATTATCTGGAGATCAGCTGGAGGTTCACTGTGGTGTGATTCATAGAAAGGGGATTGCAACCTGTAAATGGTCCTACCTGCCCTGGGGCCTTAAAATAGTTCGTACAGGGTACATGTTCAAAACATTCCACTTCCAGTGTTCTATTTATTACATCTAGCACAAGTCTTTCAAAAGAAAGTTCAAACCTACCAAGTTTTCATTCTAGTTTCAGCTGGGCCTGGCTCCTCCTCCCTCAGGTCTGTCCTCTATTTAACAATTCATTGCCCCAATCTTAGGCTGGACCTAGATCCTCTTTTCCTGTGGGTCCATCTGCCCTTCAGAGTTCCAGCCGCCTTCTTCTTCAGTCCAACCTGGGGCATAGGCTCTCCTTCCTAGGGTGTCTGTCATTATGTTCTCCCAGCACCTCTTGCTTGGAGTTTAGCCTTTTTCACAGGTCTTCCCCTGTTATATCTTCCCCCTGCAGCATTCTCTTTACTTCCTACAATGCCTGCAGACATTACTTCAAATCATCTGACTGTTTCCCCTTTTATAAGGCCCAGGTGTCTTTCCTTAAGCCTCACTGAGCAGTAGGTAATCAAATCAGGTGCACTGGATCCTGCTCTCTTTCTTGCAGGGCCCAGTTACACTTCCACACCAACTCTGTAGAAGGTTCCCTCTCTGCCCACAAGTTATAGGTGCCACCGTGGTTGGCTTGGTGCCAGCAATGCTTCCCTTGTTTCTCCCTTGCGGAATCTCCAGGATAAGTTAATGATGACTAACAAAACTTGCATGGGTTTCCCTTTTGTGCTCTCTGTTTTCCCATCGTGCATAGTTTCTGATTTTCCCAGTGCAATCTGGTTTTCTCAATAGAGACCCTGTTTCTGCTGCAATGTTCTTATGATGTTTAAATCAAGTTTTCCCCAGTGCTATGTAATGATTTAAAAGGGTCTTGCACTCAGACACACACTAAAGGACAGTGGCTGCCCAGCAACTAAAAAAATCTTCACGTTGACTTCAGAAATGAGCTCAGGCAGCGAAGTTCAGAGCCAGATTTGACTGTAAATCACAAATCTGCTCTTTAGAGTTCTGGGTTGTTTGGGTTTGGTATTTCCAATTAGACTATTAACAATCAAGGCCCAAATTGTAAGATTCAGATCCATACCTGTACTTTGGGGAGGCAAAGGTTCGGTTGCTACTGATGCTATAGTTTCAGTTTAGGCCCATCTCTCTCTCATTCATTATACTATATTAGGAGATTTACCTAGCATTGATCTGATGGGTTTTGTTGGGAAATCAAAGGCAGAGCAGTGCAGAGTGGGAGGAGGAGGGCCTGGCCCTGTGAGGAGCTGTGTGGTGTGGGTGGTGGGGAAGGTAACCTTCAGGCCCTCAGAGGAGCTGCTCAGGCGCTGGGGGAGTGGAGGGGAATCTCTAGACCCCAGGTGGATTGGCACAGGTTGGGTGGGAGGAAGGGAATCCCCCACGCTCTGGGTGAAGTGATGGGATGAAGGGAAAATTGCTAGACCCGTAGGAGCCTCAAAATGGGGAAGGGGAATTCTCCACATGCCCATGTGGAGCAGCCAGGGGAAGGATGCAGGCCTTAGTAGGTGTGGGGGAGGGGAATCTAGGTCCTGTAGCAGGGTGGAGGAGGAAGGCCAGGCCCTGTAGCTATGGGCAGGAAGGTGACTTGGCCGGCAACAGGCACAGCTCAGCTGGTCAGTCTCATGCTGGTGTGGCTGTTCCCAGTACTCACTCTACAGTATCCCATCCCTACTCACAGACCCTAAGTGGTGAGTGTGAGGATCATGTCCCTCATCTCTTGGCCCTGTGTTGGCCCATGCCTGCTACTTCCTGTGTTCCCGGAACAACTAAACCCCGACTTTGCTTTAAGTTAGGATAAGAGGAAGCGGCTTACCAAATTTGATGGCCTTAGCTCTTATCGTTTAGGAGGAGTTCTTGCACAGACAGACAAACAGACTGACAGATTTCATTTCTAATAAATATGTATAGGTGATACACACACACAAAAGATTAGAAGAATACTACGATTGCCAAGTCAAGCATTCCAAAGTTAGGAAATGTTAGAATTAAGGTTTGCCTATACAACCTTAATTTAGCCTCCATGTGTGTAAACATTACAACACATATTACATGATCACTTACTTCTTTTTCCACAGAAACCCCCTGCTACTTTCAATGCAGAGACCAACTTTGAAGATGAATCAGGGCTGTCCAGTGAAGGAGAATGTCAGTAAAGTGGGGATAATAATGCCTCCTCGTGTCACACAGGTATGGTGAAAATAAAATCATTAATGTTTGTAAAACACTCAACTATAGTAGCAATAAGCCCCATAGAAAAGACCATAAGGAAACTAACAATTATCTTACGGCTACACATTGAACAATGGTGGTGGGGATATTGAATAGCTGCTTATAAAGTGAGCACTTTCCATCTTGTGTACCTATGGAGGGGGTAAAAAAAGGATATGATCATTCATGTAATTAAAGAATGTTTCATAATGCACAAGCATGAGGGGGTTGGATTAAGGTTGCGTAGGCAATCTTAATTATGGTACTTCCTGACTTCTGAGTGCCTGACTTTACATCCTGAATAATCTTCTCTTAACCTAGATTTTTTTAGGTAAATTCACCTACACATTCACAATCAAAGGGGGAGTCCTTCCTCTTCCGGGTGAAAGGGAGGCCAAGTTGCTATCCTAGACTCACTACGTGGAATTATAATATGGTTGACAATCAATCCCTTAAAGACCTGATACAAAGTCCATTTAAGTCTACAGGAGTTTTTCCATTGACTCCAAAGGGCTTTGGATTGTACTATTAGTTTCTCTGTGCTAAACAATTAAGAAATTAATTTGCTAACCCGAATCACAAACAAAACCTGTATCTAGGTAACATGTGAATTGACATTAATATATCCGGTTGTACATTCCACACATTACTTGTAAATGTGTTCTTTGTCAACTGCATAGCAATTAGTTAGCACATGTGAGAATGCCGGATGATAGCTTTATAATCTGAGACTGTAAACATAAGAGAAGAAATTGGTGGCTAACCAAAAAACTTTCGTCAGGCTTTTTTCATACTGTACAATGAGGGGTTGTTTAGTTCAACTTAGAGAAATGGGCTTGCAGAGTTTTACAAAACAGTTTAAATCCAGAAATCAAACAAACACTAGAGAAAAGTTAGACTGAAAAGACTTCATTTTGACTCTAAAATGAAAATGAGCAAATGTCACACTGTGGTCTGTCACACAAAAAAGGTACATGAGAAGAAAGAGGCTTCGCCTTATAGAATTTGTGTGTGTCCATTTCTCTAGGGTTTCTTATGTTCATTGCTCTGGTATGCAAGACTTCAGCTGGTATAATTGAACAAAAAGCTTACCCCACTCTGAGAATCATAAAAATGTTGATGGACTTACACACACAGAGTAATTCCAGGTCCTTACTAACAAAAGTTTTAAGAATATAGGGGACATATTGAAGTAATTCCTCAGAATTTAATCTCCACCCTATAATGGGAAGACAAGTTCCCGCACCATTATCAACTCCACAAGTAGGGTGGGGAAGAGAGATATTCCTTGCTGTCACTGCCACTAAATAACACCTTGGGATTGCAGTACTCTGAAATCTGACAAAGTGTTTTTTACCCATGAAAGCTTGTGCCCAAATAAATCTGATAGTCTGTATGGTGCCACAGGACTCCTGACTGTTTCTGAAAACTATGTGACATGATTGATTAGTGAGCAGATGAGTATTCTAGGGATATCAGAAGATAAATATAGATAATGAGGGTCTTAACATCTGTGAATCTCTGCAAGCGAAGTTAGTAGAGTCCTCCAATCAATCTCATTTATTTGAAGCACCGTGCTATCCACATTATAGTTATTTACAATAAGTTGTAAAATTCCTTAATGACGCAGTCACGGGACATACTACTGAAAAAGCAGCAAAAGCAAGGAGAAGACAGTAAAGCTCTATAAATCCTTTCTTCGAGCAGTGTAAGAAGTCAGAGAACTTGGAGGAGTAGCTGAAAAGTGGACAAGAGCCAGAAGTAAGATTGAAGATAAGAAATGGTATTTCAGCTAATGTTACTAACTGGCCAAAACAGAACAATTATCTAGAGAGCTGAAATGAAAAAGTTGCTAAAAAAAAAAAGCTGAAAAAAGTGACAAAGGTGAAAAAAGGACAAAATTAAATGGCCTCTCTGTGGCAGCATTCCTGGTAAACAATTTATGCAGAACTAGACTGCTTTGTGCATGGCCACATTTTATTTTTGAATGGTTTCCTTATACAGGTTGGACCTGACTGATTCCTAATGAGGGAATTTGCCAGACCAGAGGAGGTGCCCTGCTACTGGATCCCCAGACCACCTTCCCACCCTGCTGCCTGCCCCAGCCATCCCCCTCGTCCGCCGGGCTACTGGGCTGCCGCATCCCTGACCCTAACCCCGCTATTGGGGCTGCTGTGTCTCTGGCCCTTGCCCTGCTATTGCAGCTGCCATGTTTCTGGCCCCAGCCCCACTACTGTGGCTGCCACAACTGCCATGTCCCCGGCCCTGCTACTGGGGCTGCCATGGCCTCTGCTACAATACCTGGGCTCTTGCACCAGCCCCAGCCCAGCTGGGCTTCTAGCCACCAGCCCTCTTGTCATTGGGGCTCCCAGCCAGGACTCCCTGGTCCAGGAACACCATGCTCCTGCCAGACCACAGATGTTGCCAGATGAGGGAGTTCTGGTTTTGGGAAGGTCCAACCTGTAGTTAAATACATCACATCGGATACAATTGTCTTTTTATTTGGACATATTTCCTATTTTGGTGGGATAAAATAAAATAATTTCAAGTTTGAGATTTTAAAGAAAATGTGGGAGTTGACAGCATATAATTGATAGGAGGAAAATAATCTCGGTGGTTTATAACTTTCATTTGAAATACAATAAAAGTACCTGAGGTCTAGTGCACAGTGGGTGTAAATTGTCACATTGCCATTGGCTTCCAGGAAGCCAACTATGACAATTCACATCCGGTTACAATATTTTCTTATGCATTTTTGAAGGTATCCTCAAAAAGGGCTGATCAGTAACAGCACTTTAACTTTATATGCTTAGAAAAGTGTACTACGTAAGTGCACACTTTAGATAATTGCTGCCCATTTTTGCACAATGGGTAAGGTGCATATGATAATAAAAACTTAAAAGAAAACCCATGAAAATAAAAATATATATGATGTTATCCAATAGTTCAAAAGACAAAAGAGACTGCAGAATACTAGTTAGTAATGCCATGGGATATAGCTGATGCGCTATCACTAAACAATCTTCAAATACAGGCAGTCCCCGAGTTACGCGGATCTGACTTATGTCGGATCCACAGTTACGAACGGGGTTTTTCTCGCCCTGGAGGACGGGAGCAGTGGGACGTCCAGATGTGCCGCGGTCCAGCCGCCCACATCCTCCGGGGCGAGAAAAGCTGCTCCGCGTCTCCCTGGTCTGCTGGGGGGGGGAGTCCCCCCCAGCAGACCAGGGAGACGCTGAGCAAAGCCACGGAGCACGCGGGCAGCGGGACAGCCGCGACGCATCTGGGCTGTCCGTAGTCTCATGGGGAAATGAAGGTAAAACCATGTCAATTGAAATGAATGAGGTGGATGAGCAAGTAACCTAAGGAAAGTCTAGACTAATTGGTTTTGAAAGTCTAGACTAATTGGTTTTGGTACCTATCAGCAAGTCCAGTGAATTTCACAGAACATGAACATTTCAGTGCTTTCAAATCTGCATTTTTCACCGTTTGAAAAATTTGGCACACGCTAAATGGCAAATATTCTACACTGCTTTAGGCCTATCTTTTAATGTCCTAAACAGCCCAGTGAGGGTTAATAGTTTCAATGGAATAACCTGATTTAAATCTTCCAACCATTTAAAAAATGCTAGCCCCAGTCTTTCCCTTAAAGATTCTGGTTAACTTCTTGTAGCAAAGCATTCATGATTTATACAACTGTGCGCTATGTTTCCCTTATACAGGCAGTCCCCGGGTTATGTACAAGATAGAGACTGTAGGTTTGTTCTTAAGTTGAATCTGTATGTAAGTCGGAACTGGCGTCCAGATTCAGCCGCTGCTGAAACTGACCAGCGGCTGACTACAGGAAGCCCGAGGCAGAGTTGCTCTGCCCGGGGCTTCCTGGAATCAGCTGCTGATCAGTTTCAACAGGCTGAATCTGGACACCAGTTCCGACTTACATACAGATTCAACTTAAGAACAAACCTACAGTCTCTATCTTGTACATAACCCGGGGACTGCCTGTATAAGGGAAACATAGCGCACAGTTGTATAAATCATGAATGCTTTGCTACAAGAAGTTAACCAGAATCTTTAAGGGAAAGACTGGGGCTAGCATTTTTTAAATGGTTGGAAGATTTAAATCAGGTTATTCCATTGAAACTATTAACCCTCACTGGGCTGTTTAGGACATTAAAAGATAGGCCTAAAGCAGTGTAGAATATTTGCCATTTAGCGTGTGCCAAATTTTTCAAACGGTGAAAAATGCAGATTTGAAAGCACTGAAATGTTCATGTTCTGTGAAATTCACTGGACTTGCTGATAGGTACCAAAACCAATTAGTCTAGACTTTCAAAACCAATTAGTCTAGACTTTCCTTAGGTTACTTGCTCATCCACCTCATTCATTTCAATTGACATGGTTTTACCTTCATTTCCCCATGAGACTACAACGTACTGCAAACTTTCTGTTGCAGCCAACATTTCCAGGAAAAACAGTTCATTAACCATTCTCTCATCTTGGGTTTTATTCAGATGGTGCAAATGGACACAACATGATGTGAAGCAGTCTACTTCATATTTGCGTCTCTGCTGCTGATTCCTGCCCTTATTATCTGAAAGAGTAACTTAGTGGTTCAAAGTGGTTCAACTGGACTAGTCATCACAAAGAGAAATGGGGAAGAAAACCAACGTAATAAAATTAGGCATTTAAGTGCTTGCTTGGTACTAAGCCTTGCTTCTTTTCTATTCTACTTTGTAGTCAAATCTTACTGTGAGTTGTACAATATTTTATGTTTCCTTTAAAGACCCTGTTCCTAGAGTCATGTGATTATGTGAAAAATCTCAGCTTTCAATGTTACAAAAATGAGGAAGTTTGATAAAACTCCTGGTGGCAGAAAAAAGAAAAAAAAAGACAGAAAACATTCAGGCTGAAGACTCAAAAACCAGAAGGTAGATGCAAATAACTCCAATTTTTATTATTTATCATTTTTTTAAAATTATTTTATTATTATTAAAGATTTTCATGATTCTAACTCCTGAAATTTGAACACGTGGAGTTGGCAATATTGGAAGTTTGAGCAAAAGATTCAATATGCAAAACATTAAAATATATTCGTGCAGGAAAATTAAGATGCTGTGGGATTCAATCCTTCTGATAAAACAACTTTTGTGCCTCAGTTTCATAATTCTTTATTTCTGACAGTTTTCAAACGTAAAAGTTAGGAGAGACAAAATTGTTGGAATTGTAGGTAACTTTTGGACTAAAACAAATTAAAATTTTAGGAATCAATGATATCTCTTTCTACCAATTTTTATTTGCTCTGACTGTTAAAGATCATAATTCTTGTTTTCTAAAAGATTTTGGGTATATCTGAAATCACTGGAAAAATTAATATTGGAGTGAAATATGTGTTTATACATTACTCTTGGGGGATATGGGATATGACTCTTCTTCATTTAATTAGGCAATTGGGGTTGCGGTAAATGTACAATTATTTTTGTATTAATTTTTTTAAAGAAGTGGATAACGTTTTTTTTCCTATACATGCTTTTTATGATTGAAAGGTTAAAAAAGCCTTTTGCCTGTAAAAACAAAATAAAATATTCACGTTTACTGCTTGTGAAAGACACTAGGTTGACAGTTTTGCTAACTGTTCTGAAGCTAGAATTACATATGCATGAGGAAGCAAAAACCTTTCACAAAAACTTCCCACTCTTTCTGACCTTATATACTGCATATTGATGTAATGCATATTTGTCAGTGTAATTTTTGTTCTGATTTAAATCTAAACAAACACACACTGTTTTTTAAAATTTAGTTTAAATTAATAGAATGCTCAGGAAAGGCGCAAGGTTGATGGTGACACATGCGGGACAAGAGAAAGCTGAGGATAATTACATGAAAAATGGGCCATATTTTAAAGAGTGCTGTCAAAATGCAAAGGCCTGGAACATGTCTTCCCAAATGATTTCAACTCTCCCCCTGCCATATAGTCACAGCTGCAACCAGCAGAGAATTTGCCCTCATTTTAAGAGCGGAGCTGCTGGCCAGATACTCTTTTTGGAGAACTTGGGACCCTGGAACTTGTTCCTTCCACCTTAAATTTGATATTTTAAGCATGCTGCAAAATCCCCATGTTTTTCACAGATTAAATGGGGAAAGTTGAGGGTCTGATCCAAAGGGACTCCAAGGGGCTCTTTGGTTATATTGGCGGGCTGAATCAATTCATTATTGGGTTAGGTTTTGCTGCTTGGCAGTCATCATTTAAATTGTAAACTTAAATAAGTAAGGACAACTTGTGCTTTTTTGTAAGTGTAATTTTATTCTGATTTAAATCCAAAGAAACAGTTTTTTTTTAAATTAGTTTTAAATTAATAGAATGCTCATGAAAGGGGTCAAGTTCATAAGCTTTTTGGATAGAGAATGTCAACCATCAGGCTAACACTGAACAGCAGCAGCTGTGCAAACTTCTCCATCTTCGCCCAAGAATGTTCCTGTCCCTGAGGTTCCAGACTTATGTTCTTTGCTCCAAGCTAATAAAATGATAATTCAGTCTTCACGCCTATTTCATTTGGGAATGGTGCTAATTAGTGACTTTCTGTTATGTCTACATCTGTGCTCTCAGAACTGGACATATCTTTTGCCTAAATATTTAGGTCCCAGTTCTGCTCCCTATTGAAATTAATGGCAAAATCTCCATACTAGAATGGATGTCCACATGCTCATGAGAGGATTCTAATTTAAAGAAGACAGTTGTAGAATAAAGGGTGTAAAGCATTTTAACTGAATGCTTATGTTGTTTTAACAAACTTGAGGTTTGTTCAAGTCTATCAGCTGCTCCAGGACTGCCAATAGGACAGCAGGGTGGAATCTCAAATTAAGGCTGGGATTCTTAGTTCCAGGTAAGCAAGATCTCTTAGGTTGAGAAAATAGACTTAAGTAATTCAGCAGAAACAGCAGTAGAGCTGAAGATGAAAAACTAAAGCAAACAAAAATACATTTTTTGTCCTATTATGGACGTTTTGGTATTGAGTTCAATGGGATGAGAGTCGGATCTTCTGCACTTGAATGTTTTAAACTCAATGGATGTGCTCATTTGATAGTGTTTAGACACAGACATATTCATACATTTTAAAACATTTCTCTTCTCATTTGGACACATTCTGCTCTCATTTATATCACTGTAAATTCAAAGTAGCTCCTTTGGTGTCAGTGGAACTATGCTGGATTTATACTAGGGTTAGAGCAAACTTAGGCTGACCATCTTCGTCTGGTTACCATGGTTATTTCTGAAATAAGTTTCTGCTTTTCAGGAAACTTCAAGACCCACTTGATCATCACAAGAATGAGAGTGCCCAGAGGCATATCCCAGCCTCAAGCACGCTTATCCTTATCTGCCTCAGAACAGCTCCATGAGGAAAATATTAGCATCTTAATCTTTAATAAGTGCATCAAATGCAGCAATAGGTGAGGAAAGAAAGTAGTCTGTAAACAACATTAGCAATAAAAGTGCAGCAGAATCTTGACAGAAGCTATCAATGGTCTCTAGGAGTAATCAGCTTCGGTATAACTAAAAATGTTGAGTGGTGGTAAAGGCTCAGTGACAAAGGAAGAGTGGCCTGAAAGAAAAGAGAGTGGCCTTGCAGATCAAGACAGAGGCTATGGGAAAACAGGACGTCAACTGAGTTTGGCAGATGTCAGAGAAAACACTATTTGGATCTTCACAAAGAGGTGGCTCTCTACATCTTAGTTGTAACCAGAAGAGAAAGTCACGAGACAGGCTGTTCATGGGACCGCATAAAACCAAAACATACTGATTATTATCAGCTATGTTGTTCCAGATTTCCAAACAAAAGCATCTGGAGAATATTCAGAGAAGCATCTTTTCCAACATGGATCCAAACAAACACATACAACCAAACCTTTTAGGCCTGCAACTTACTACATGAAAGACATAACAAGAGCAGCAACCACGCCCAAGGAAACATACAATAATCACTCCATCATTCCTAATTACACTGTTTAATAGGGACTTCTGAAATAGCCTGAGTAGCATTCATTTAAGCAAAAGGTTAATCTTGAAACGGATCAGCGAGGGTAAAGCTTCTCATGTCATCTTTCACCTCATCTTGATATAGAGAGCTAAACAATCCTTCTTCCCTTCCCTCCCCCCACATGAGTACGCTGTGTACCAAACTTTTTAAAAACACACAGCGGATGGGATAAAGTGCAACATTATCAATGATTTTCATCTCCTCTAATGTGATACACACTGGGTCACTGGGGTATATTCAGTCTGTTATGCTCACTTTACTAGTTGTACAGATCAGTCTGCAAACTGCCATTTATAGTACAGGGTGGGAACAGTCTGTGATTGTTTGCTAGGACATGTAAACAAATTCTCACTATCTACTAAATAGGTACAGAGAAATTCTTGGCTCTGTGAACAAAGGATGCAATTTTCAAAAGTACCTAGCTGACTTAGGAACAACTGTATTAAAGTTCTCAAAAGTTAAACATTGAGGTGATGAAGTCTCATTGAATGTCCTTAGGGTTTGGAATCCTGATCCCGTAGGTGTGTTAGAAAGTTTTACCTTGAATTCAACTACATTAATGTAAATGTAAAGTAATTCTATAAATACTGTAAATGCAGGGGGAGTTTCTCCAGGCATACACTATCTGAGATTTAAATTTGGTTGAATCACTATAGCCAAGGCAAGCTAACTTTTCTGCTGGTTCATTCAGTATGTTCATGCTGGCACCTCCCATCACTTGCCACAGTAATAGGGAAAATTTTTCAGTTCTGCTTTTGTTCTTCCTTTTGTGATGACCAACTATAATGAGGGTTCTATTGCTCACCCTTGCTGATGACTCCTGTTTGTAGAGTTTGTGCTTCTAGTGGAAATATATTTGTGGGTCAATCCCTTGTGCATTCTAATGAGGTTGCTGGGTCAGTGCTCTGCATTCCCTTTAAAGTGAGCCAAGCAGGAAGTTGAATAATGTGAATTTTTGCAGAAGTTCTAAAGAATACACACACACAGTTGCAGGCTATTTGGCCAGGCAACATGGTGCATCCAGCAGTCCTCTGCTTGCATTGCACATTCACAAAAGCATTTTTGTTGAGGAAGGCAAGGTCTTAGCCACTCATTCGAAGTCTCTGGCTGCTACCTTTGGGTGAGATTGTTCCTAGCCTTTATGCAGATATATACAATGGGAGAAGGATCCAAGGAGCTTTTCTACTTCTTGCTAGGCAAGTACAAAGACCAGACACAGTTACTTTTTGTTGAGGATGACCAGGAAAGCCCCACAAAGATGCAACAACAAAATTCAGATTCAAATATGCCCGAGTTGCATATCTGGCAAATTGGCTCATTGTTGCATTTTGCTACCTAGAAGAAACTGCCATTTTAAAAATCTCACTTTTCGCGGATCTTTCCTTCTGCATATTTGTTTCCATAGTGTGCCTCAGTCTGAATTTCAGAACAGGATTCTGTGATTTCTTTACCTGGAGAAATTTTGTTTAGCTGAAACGGCTAGTAGCTTGCTTTGGAAAATGAACTGAAACACCAAGGTCCCACAGCCCAGTCTAAAGAGGATGTTTGATGCTGAAATTACTGTTTTATTTATATATGCCCCTTCAAAATCAGGTCAGGAAGCTGCATATACTCTAAGTTAGCACTCTGTTTAATTTTTAATCAAAACTCTTAACCATGTATCGTAGTACATGGCAGGCTCTTATGAATCATGAATCTTGCTGATGGAGTTATGATCTGTATCTCAGATAATTCATTACCTCACCACCCCACACATCCTCCTTTATACTGTATGGTATCTCATTAATGATCTATCTGTGCTAAATATACACCTAAATAGGCTGAGGTTATTTATAACCATCCAACAGAGACTCTGCATTTGAAGTTTACCATATAAAAAGACTTGGTTGCATCAGTTACTTCCTCATTACACACAGCATTCCACGGTCTTAAGCAGCGATAAATGTTTAGTAGGATGAGGGTACAATGTGTATCATATGTCTCAGTTCTGATGAAAAATAAATCCAGATAAAGTCCCTAAAAGGCCAACAGTGGTCTAAGTACTATTATTTTACTGCAGTTTACATAATATCTTCAACATACAGTATTAGCTCTTAAAATGGACTACAGCAGGTTTTAACTCAACAGAACCATTCTCCTGCATGTCACAGCTGCTTAGTTTACAGCTAAAAATAAGTTTTCAACACTTTATTGGGTGAAAATGTCACCTCCCAAGGCATCTTTGAGAGCTACATTTTGTGAGGAGAGTCCTCTCCAACTTCCCTCTGTACCTATGTTGGAACTGCCTCTGTAATCATGTAAGATGTTAGTGGAAGTTGCAAGGGGAGGTACATCATCAACTGTGGTAGGGTAGAACCAGCCCACTGTACCTATGTGGTAACATATCAGAGATTCCCCTCCTGAAAGCACCCTATACTAGGATGACAAGTGATAGCAGAATAGCATTTAGAATTGCATGCTAAGCAGTAATTTCAAGATAGTACCTTGCCAGTGGAATATGTACTGTATTTAAAGAGGAAAAAAATCTTGTATTTTCCTCTATACAAGTTAAATCTCTCCAGAACAGCA